ATGCAGTCTGACACCAACTTAACTACCATGGCTCAATCCTTGGAAGTCTATATGGAAGCATATAGAATTAGCGAGTTGGAAGAGACATGGGCTATTTAGTACAGCCCCCTACCATCGAGGAAAAGACAGTCAGTATACTCCTGACGGATGCTTATCCAGCCATCATGGGAGTTGTAGTTTTACAAAGTTACCAGCCTTCTCTGCCAAAGAATGCTGGTGCCTTACCAAACTACAACTCCCACAATTCCATTTCATTGAGTCATGGCAGTTAGTGGCATCAGATGGCATTAGTTCTCTGGTATAGAGAATTAATCACTTTTGGACTTCAAGTCTCAGTAATCCTAGCCAGAGCTGCCATAAGCAAGGAATGCTGGGATTTACAGTCCAACATCTTGAAGTCCATGCAATTCCCATCTGATATAAGACAAACAAGACTGCAGCTCTTTGCTCATGAATTCCTATCAGTTAATGGTCAGAGCCTATTGAGGAAAAGGAATTGATGGACCAGTTGAAAGGAAATGACCATGGTACAAGTGGCAGGGAGAGAAGCACGGTTCTTAAAATATCGTAAAATAGCTATCCCCTACCACGTGTTTCTGTGGCCCACTCTGGTGAACTGGAAAATAAAATAATGAGAAAGTGTTGGTTTCCAATATATGTAATTTTTTATGCTTGTGGGTAAACAGTATTTCTTGTTGATTCTTTGTCAGTGCTGATGTGGAGAGTCTCTGGTTTGCCTACTCTGGAACATACAACATATAATTGTACTTCTTTAGGGGTCCCTTTCAAATCCATGATACTATATCTGTGTGTGTGTGAATCATATATATCTATTTATATCTATGGCTGGATGGGTCTTTTGTCAGGAGGGCTTTGATTACGTTTTCTTGCCCTGGTGAAGAGAGGTGGACTGAATGAGCTTAAGGATTTTCTGTTGGTCATGGGGGTTCTGTGTGGGGAGTTTGCCCCAATTCTGTCATTTGTGGGTTCCAGGATGCTCTTTGATTGTAGGTGAACTATAAATCCCAGTAACTACAACTCCCAAATGTCAAAATCTATTTCCCCCAGACTCCATCTGTGTTCATATTTTGGCATATGGAATATCCGTGCCAAGTTTGGTCCAGATCCATCATTGCTTGAGTCCACAGTGCTCTCTGGATGTAGGTGAACTACAACTCCCAAACTCAAGGTCAATGCCCACCAAACCCTTCTAGTGTTTTCTGTTGATCATGGGAGTCCTGTGTGCCACGTTTGGTTTAATTCCATCATTGGTGGAGTCCAGAATGCTTTTTTATTTTAAGTTAACTATAAATCCCAGCAACTACAATTCCCAAATAACAAAATATTTCTTTTAGTAATGGTCACTCCTTGGAGTAGTAGGTGTCCTGTTGCCAAATTTGGCAGTAATTCGTCCAGCAGTTTTTGAGTTATGTTAATCCCACAAACAAACATTACATTTTTATTTATATAGATGCAGTCTTCAATTTGCATCATAATCAGTCAAACTGGAGTCTTCTAACTAATCCGATGAGGTTATTTAGTCAGGGTAATTTATCTACACTTATAGTTGGCCATCCTTATCCACCAATTCAATTTTAAAAATGGCTTAAAAATTTAAGAAACAAATCCAAACAAACCAATCTTGATTTTGCTGTTATATACAAGGGACACCATTTTACTATGTCAGTGTATATAAGGGGTCTTGGCATCCATGGCTTTTGGTGTCCACAAGGGGTCCTGAAAGCAAACCCAAGTGGATACCAAGTTCCCTCTGTGTTCATAATTTGCGCACCCAGATTGCCTTTGTTGGCATTAGCTGATTTCCTAAGAGTAATCAGCAAAACCCACACTAGACATTAGCCTAATATGATTTAAATTCATTATCTTTATTATTAATGTTTTAATCAATGATTTAACATCACAGCCATTTATTAATGTTTTAATCATTAATTAATGATATAGCTTCACATTAAATAAACTAGATCCATCACCTTGCATATAATATTTAACTAGACTGAAAAACAGATGCATGTAATTCCTGAACAGACAGAAGGCTGAGGTAATGACTGCCGACCTGCTTACAAGACTGCAGTTTCAACAAAGGCGACATTGCATCTGAGCAATTAGTAATTGCTTTTGTGTTGGCATCTAACAAAAAGAATCCGCTTTTTATTTTTGAAGCTGTAATGAGAATGATGAACCACAAGATGGTGATCACCAGCTATAGATGCAATGAAAGGCAGTCAAAGAAACAGGTCAGCTACAGATGTAATGAAGTTAGTTTTGATCTAATCTTACTGAAAAGTTATGTGCTAGAGTTTGGAAAAGTTGCTTTTTTGGAAGACAACTCCCAGCATCTCCAGGCAGTATCTGACTGTGGCTGGAAAAAAAATCACTTTTCCAAGAGATAAATCCATGTAGTTTATTGACTGCAAGAACCAAGCTTTGATTTGATATCTACAGCTACATGATGTGGACTATGGATTACAGTCTGTGAAATGAATTAGGGATTATGAGCAAGTGGTTTATCGATTGCTTTCACCCCAGAGCTCTCCATGAACATGAAATAAAATAAAATATGAGATATAGAATGCATCCACACTGTAAGATTTAATGCCATTTGACACCACTTGAACTGCCATGGCTCAGTGCTCTGGAATCCTGGGAGCTGTAGTTTTATATTTTTAGTCTTCTCTACCAGATTGCTTGTGCTTCACCAAACTACAAATCCCATGATTTCATAACATTGAGCCATGGCAGTTCAAGTGTTGTCAAGCTGGTTTATTTCTACTGTGTAGATGCCATAGATTCGTAGTAGAAGGCTTGATTTTCAAAGTAGAAAACTTGCCATCCAATATCGTGTCAGAAGCTAATTGAGAATAGAGCAATAATGTATAGAAAAAACAAAAACACAGTTCATAGTTGGTCCTGAAAAGGTTCATTTGTTTGTTTGATTAGTTAGTGGGTTGCATACTGCAAGTTGCTTCTGGTGTGAGAGAATCAGCCATCTACAAGAACCTTGCCCAGGGGATGCCCGGATGTGTTACTATCCTGCGGGGAGCCTTCTCTCATGTTCCCTGCCATCCAAGACTAGGACCCAGCTTTAGTAGCCCATAATTGTTCTACTATATATGAAACCCTATATAAACTGTACATTTGCGAATTAGTTTATGCAATCATTTATTTCTTACTGCTATTCAAGTAGATATCAATTTAAATTTTATAAATTTGCTTTCTCTATTAGGATAGGCAATTTTTGATACAAATCCCTCTAATGTTTCAATACCTTTGACCATATAAGGTTCTTTTCAAGGCTACATTCCAGCCTCTTTGCTTTCAAATTCTGTAGTAGTCAAAGAAATGCAAGATACTTTAATGCACAATACACAAATATGAAATATATCACTGGCTGGCTGATTTTGGCAAGATCTCAGGAAGCGAAGATAATATCAAATGGAGTTGATCTTTGCAAAAAAAAAGTGTACCATATTTTGTAGAAAGCAATTACTAAAAGAATTGGGGTTATACAATTCACTGCTTTATAGGTGTAGCCATTGGCTATGTTTCCTTTCTAATCTATTGTTAACTGAGAACAAAAAGGACAATTTATGACCTCTGCTTCAGTGTTTTATAGTAGGAGATCTTTCATAGGTTTAGGTGTGAGTAATGGCACTCCTTCCTTTTTTCCATGGACAGCCATCAGCCTGGGGAATGCTTATGCTTGATCAGGATTTTAGATCTATGGTATCTGAGGCAACTGACTATTGTTGCCTCAGATACATAAGAATAACTCCTTACCAGATTTGGGAGAAACTGCAAGCCACTTCTGGTGTGAAAGAATTGGCTGTCTGCAAGGATGTTGCCCAGGGAAAGCAATAGGTTAAACTCTTTTGGCAGGTCAGTGGTTCAAATCCAGGAAGAATGGGTTGAGCTCCCTTTGTCAGCTCCAGCTCCCCATGCAGGGACATGAGAGAAGCCTCCCACAAGGATAGTAAAACATCAAACATCCAGGCATCCCCTAGGCAATGTCCTTGCAGGTGGCTAATTCTCTCACACCAGAAGTGACTTGAAATTTCTCAAGTCACTCCTGACATGGAAAAAAAAAAGGGAAACTGTTGATCATTGACAATACAGTGTTCCCTCACTTATTGTGGGTGTTCCATTCCAGGACCACCCGCAATAGGTGAAAATCTGCAAAGTAGGGACGCTCCACCCACTCAAGTGGGTAGAGTGTCTCAACTTCGCAGTGACCTCCTCCTCACCGCCTCTGCTGCTCCCCACCTCGGAGGCCCCTTCCTCACCAGGCTGAGTGCCCAAGGGGCCTCCGATGCGGGGACCAGCAAAGTCAGCAAGACGGAGGCCACCACCCAAGAGGACTTCGGTGGTGGCCTCCTCCTCACTACCTCTGCTGCTCCCTGCCTTAGAGGCCTCTTGAGCACCCACCCTTGTGAGGAAGGAGCGGGGAACAGCAGAAGCTGCGAGGAGGAGGAGGCTGCTGCCAAAGCCCTCTTCGGCGGCCTCCTACTCCTCGCCACCTCCACTGCTCCCCACCTAAGAGGCCCCTTACTTGCCAGGCTGGGTGCCCAAGGGCCCTCCAAGGCAGGGAGCAGTGGAGGTGGCAAGGAGGAGGAGGCCGCCGTGAATTAGAGACAATCCGCCCACTCAACTGTGACCTCCTCCTCCTAGCCACCTCCACTGTGCCCTGCCTCGGAGCCACCTTGGGCACCCAGCCTGGTGAGAAAGGAGTGGGGAGAAGCTATATAGTGTTCCCTCTATACAGTGTTCCCTTGCTGCTTCCCACGAAACAGTGAGTTCACAATAAGCGAACCGTGAAGTAGTGAGGGAACACTGTATTCAGTTGTCTCAGATACTATACATCTAAAATCCCTTCTCATCAAGTCAAAGCTATGCCCTCATCCATTCAACACATCCATATACTAGATCAAAAACAACAAACATACCAAAGATCTTGAAACAGGCAAAATAGATTTCAATAGTCATAATTTATTGGATTTCTTCTGTAATTTTGTTTCCATTTTTTCAAACGTCTTAAATTCCACATATCCCCCATCACGAAAGTATGAAAATATATAAGAAAGCTTGTATCTAAACACAGTGCTTAATTCTAATGAAGTTTGATATTGCTAATATTCTAGAATTCTATTGGTCTTCACATTGTTTTATGTCAAAATATTAATAGTTTAAAAATCTGTACAAAAGCAATAACTTGTAAGAAGATTGAACGAGACTCAGGGAATACAATTACATCCTATTTGTAAAAAAGATATATACAGTTTTAAGAGTCGCTTAATAGCTTTTTATTATTTATTATTTACTTATTTATTTATTTCGAGGTTTTATATACCGACCCTCTCACCTTCAAAGAGGGATTCGGACCGGTTCACATGTGTTAACATACAAAGAATATACAATAACAACACAATGCCACTTTATAACACGATTAAAATATCAGCACTATACACATTAAAACATTATTACAAGATAGTACCATCGAGGACCCTTCCACACAGCCATATAACCCAGAATATCAAGGCAGAAAACCCCACAATATCTGCTTTGAGTTGGGTTATCTGAGTCCACACTGCCATATATTCCAGTTGAAAGCAGAGAATGTGGGATTTTATTCAGCTGTGTGGAAGGGGCCTGAGACTTGGACTCAAACACTAATGTCTGCCCATCTCAAAACATTGTAATAAGTACAATATCTGCGGGATCCTTATCCATTGTTTCATTAACTCAGGTTTCACAAAATAAATCTTCTCTAGGCATTTTCTCGATTCTCCAGGTGACGCTATAGTAGGCTTCTGCTGGAAGCTGGCTATACAGCTGTACTAGAGGACCTAGTGATGCCTAGAGCTGTCTACAATAGGCATTTCCTAGGACCTCTATCATGATTCTGTGGTATGCTTCCACTGAAAATATTTCATTCAATAGGGTTCATTAATATCTTCTGTTTTGCAGATCCATGCAAAGTCCTGGAATCTAAAACCCACAGATATGGGAGTCATAATATATACTATACTACAAAACTGAAGACCTGATTCAGGTGCTATTTGTTTGTTTCATTGAACCTGGTGTAAATCTTGCTACTGATTACCATGTCTTTATTGGGGAAATAGGATGCATCCTTGGTCACTCCCGAGAAGGGACAGTCCACAGCTGGATGAAAAGGTAAAGCAGGAAACAGGCTGGTCCTTAGGTAGGGAGACATCAATGCCGGGACAGCTCTTCCTGGAGAGGAGTATGCCAGTCGCAAAGGTCTGAATCCCAATCTAGGATTTACACCGTAAAAATTCACCTCACTCCCTAAAGGAGATGGATTGGTTTGAAGAGGAGAAAATGCTGATGTACCACCAAAAGCTTTGACATCCATTCCTAAGAGATTAAAATCAGAGGATCGCTGGATGGCGCTACACTGAGGCAAAGGCAGGAATCCACGGCCTCCAAATTCTTGCTCCTTTTCATTCATATTCAGTATCTGTTCTATAGCTTGGGCTATGTCTCCTCTGCAGAAGTGCAGAACTTTTGCTAGCCTACTCTGCTTATGACTGGGAAACACCCTGATAAGAATATCAAGTGGATCTCTCTGTCTGGAAACAGTGTTTGAAGGAGAACCTGCAGCAGAAACTCTGATAGGGAAGAGAGCCAAGTCCTTGGGACATTCACTTTCATTCCCTGATTCCATGTCTGAAGAAGAGAGAGATGTTGAATTGTCTGTCCCTTCTAAAGACTCATGAGGACTTGAGGGATGAACCATTGTAACCACTTTACCTAGACTCTGTACACCAAGTGGCTTCTCTTTGTGGCCTCCAGTAGTTTCAGGAGAGGACCTCACAGAAGATATGGAAACATGGACTACAGAACTGCCAAGTTCTTTGTTGTAGAAGTCAGTCTTCTGAATCTTTTCTGGCAGGGAAAAATGAAACATGTAGTTAAATATCAGTTCATAGGAGGCAACCTTAGGGTCATAACTACTCAGAGCTCTGCATTCATAGATGTACATAATGCATAGAATTAGAGCATAAAAGAGAATACACAAGCTGTACTTGATAGAGACAGGTGGCTCTGATATGAGTAGTGAAGTGATCCCCATTCTAGATCATAGTTTATACATTGAACTGTTCAAATTGTTTGACACTATTCCCAAAATATCTTTAGCATCTTTGATATCTCTTTTAAAGTTCAGACTATATTATCATCATCATCATCATCATCATCATCATTAGCTATCCCCTGCCACACATTGCTGTGGCCCAGTCTTTGTAGATGTGTTTTGTGTGTGTATATATATGTGTATATATGTTGTTTTATGCCTGCATTGTAATGTATTTTTTAATTTTTGGCTTTTTAAGTCTCTTCTGCTGTGTTTTTGAGTGTTTTTTATGAGTGATGGTCACTCATTGGCCTGATAGGTGGATTGTGCCCAAATTTGGTGTCAATTCATCCAGTGGTTTTTGAGTTATGTTAATCCTAGAAACAAACATTACATTTTTATTTACATAGAAGAATTATTATTATTATTATTATTATTATTATTATTATTATTATTATTATTATTATGTACTCCACCTCCATCTCCCTGAAGGGACTCAGAGCAGCTTACATATAGCACAATGTGCCTAAAATAATGCAGAAAATAAACACACAATACAATATAAAATAAAACCAATAGCATATAAAACAAAGTTTAAGCTAAAAAAAACAACCAATAACCGATAAGAATTGTCGTAAAACATAGCCAACTGTAAACAGGAGCAGGGAATACGATAGTGCAAATGTTAGCTAATAAACTAGGGCATGGGACGGAATTGGGGACCATCGGGACTAAACATTCTCAAAGGCTTGGCCAAACATCCAGAGTAGATTCACCACTTCAATGACATCAAAACTACAGGCCTTGTCTACATTCTCTGGATGTAACTGGACTCTTCTGAAAATCTCTTACTGATGATTCATTATTATTCAGTTAATCTTCAAGAATTCTAGGTACATTGCCACACTGATTTCTACTCCCACTTATACCAGATTTCCTACATAGATATAAGTACTACAAATGTGCCCAGAACATCTTCCCTCATATCCACTGAATGTACACATCAAGTGCTAGTTTTGACCTATAAAGTTCTATTCAGTTTGGGCCCAGATTATTTGGATCATCACCCCCTCCCTCTCTCTCTCACGTTATAAAACAAATGGTAAAGCCATTATTTGTCTACATCACTCATAATTACTTATCAGTTTTCCCCCTTCCACTTAAAAGGCCTAAAATGTTTTAAGTTCCCAATTGGAAGCCATGTTTCCTTAAAAAAAATAACCTGCCCCCAATGAAATTACAATTATGAACAATAGAATTAGAGCCAGCATGGTATAATGGTATAATCACCAGTTTATAAATCTAGAGATCAAATTTCAAATCCTTAGTCAGCCATAAAAATTCGTTTGGTGACCTTGGGCAAGTGGCACATTCTCAGACCCGGAGGAAAACAACGGCAAATTCCCTTTTGAACAAATCTTGCCAAGAAACTATTGCGATAGCTTTGCCTTAGAGTTGCCATAACACAGAAATGACTTGAAGGCATACAATAAGTAACAAACAGGAGAAACTGAGCAATGAGTAAAAGTAACAATTACTTTTAAACGCACCTTTCCAAACTCTGTGCTTATTGCACACATAGCACTGTAAAAGGGGAAGGGACTTCCACATATCTTTATCTCTGCTCCATCTCTTAAAATTTATAAAACTTTCAAGACAAGACTAATAATCAAAACAAGCTTATAATCAGTCTTTCTCGTTAAAAAACTTTTTTCAGTACTATTAGCCTACACTGCATACTTTCCCTATCCTGTTGCCTTTACTGATCTGATTTAGCCTAGACTTCTAGAAAACTGGTATGAAAAGATGGCATAGCTATGAACAAGAACTATAGAAAAGGGACAACCATGCTCTCAATTCATTTTCATGAGAAACAAAGTCCTGACTGTAGTTTGTTTGTACCTTCCGTTGCTACACCTGTATGTGGAAAGGACAGCTTGCAAATGCAAGGCCCTTAGCTCAGAACGAAATTAATACATGTAGACTCAATGGCTTATATACAACATCAGTACTTACAGATAGGGTGTAGCAACCTCCTGTATTATGGAGAGACTTTACAGGCTGAGTCTCCCTTATCCCAAAATGTTTGCAACCACAAGTTTTTTAGATATTGGATTGCTTCACATTGTGGACAATGTGCAAATGCATGAGATATCTTGGAGATGGGACACAAGTCCAAACATAAAATTCATGTATGTTTCATATACATCTTATAAACATAGGTAAAGGTAAAGGTTTCCCCTCAACATTAAGTTTAGTCGTGTCCGACTCAGGGGACTGATGCTCAACTCCATTTCTAAGCCAAAGAGCCGGCATTGTCCGTAGACACCTCCAAGGTCATGTGGCCAGCATGACTGTATGGGGCACCGTTACCTTCCCGCCAGAGTGGCACCTATTGATCTACTCACATTTGCATATTTTCCAACTGCTAGGTTGGCTAAAAGAGGGAGTTCACCCTGCTGCCCAGATTCGAACCACCAACCTTTCAGTCTGAAAATTCAGCAGCTCAGCGGTTTAAATTGCAGCGCCACTGGGGGCACATTTTAAAATGCAATAAAGAAATAAAATAAAGAAATATTTATTATTATGATCATAGATAAAGGTGTTCCCCTGACATTAAGTCCAGCCATGTCCGACTCTGGGGCATGGTCCTCATCTCCATTCCTGAGCTGAAGAGCTGGCGTTGTCCGTAGACATCTCCAAGGTCATGTGGCCGGCATGACTGCATGGACCGCCGTTTTGATATAATCCAGATCAAAGCAGATAATCTGGGATGAGATCCAGGGATATTGGGCAGTGGAGATCCAGGCAATGGCTCAATTTAGCTGCCCTGGCTCCATGCTATGGGATCCTGGGAGTTGCAGTTTGGGAAGAGAAGGCTGGAGAACCTTGTAAAACTACAACTTCAATGATGTGATGGCATTGAGGCATGGTAGTTCAAGTAGGGCCAGGATGCATTCATTCCACAGTATGCAGATGAGGTATGGGCAAACTTCGACCCTCCAGGTGTTTTGGACTTCAACTCCCATAATTCCTAACAGCCCTCCGGGCTGTTAGGAATTATGGGAGTTGAAGTCCAAAACACCTGGAGGGCCGAAGTTTGCCCATGCCTGGAGTAGATGCACCCTTAGCCCAACTCCCAAGCTGGCAAAGTGGCCCCGCTCGGCGATCCCACCTCTTGGCAGCTGCTCTTCCTCCTCCTCCTCCTCCTCCTCCTCCTGGGCCTCTTCTTGCGCCTGCTGCCTCCGGAGCGCCACTTGGGCTGCCATGACCCGCTGCCGCTCTGCGATGAGCGCGCACTTGGCGCAGGCGCAGTCCCGCCAGCGGCAGAAGCGCTTGTGCCCCTTGAGCGCCGAGACCGCGCCGTGGTTGCGGCAGCGCGCGCACTTGGGAGCGCGAGGGTAGACGGGCACTGCCGCGCGCAGGTAGAGCAGCGAGGGCGGCATCGGCAGCGCCGAAGGAGGCCCGCATCCCAGAAGAGGCGCCTTCCCCGCGTTGGCCATGGCTCACAAAAGTCTCCTCCTCGGCCGCTGGCTCCTTTTACACCCAGCGGGAGCGTCCCGCCCCTTGGCACCACACACAGGCCTGCCCAGCCCCGCCCCTCCCCAAAGAAGGCAAGCCCTTGGGGCGGCTGGTAATTCCAAGCTCAAGCCCCAAGCTAGACACAATGTAACACGATTCTTCTCTCCTGGGTTATAAATGTCACTTCCGAATTGGTTCTATCATAAAAACAGTATATCAAACTGGGTTGTTGTAGGTTTTTTGGGCTATATGGCCATTGTATTGTCGAAGGCTTTCATGGCCATGTTCCAGAAGCATTCCCTCCTGATGTTTCACCTGCATCTAGGGCAAGCATCCTCAGAGGTTGTGAGGTCTGTTGGAAACCAGACAAGTGAAGTTTATATATCTGTGGAATAATGTCCAGGGTGGGAGAAAGAACTCTTGCCTGCCTGAGGCAAGTGTGAATGTTGCAATTAGCCACTCTAAATAGCATTGAATGGCCTTGCAGCTTCAAAGCCTGGCTACTTTCTGCCCCCTGGGAGAATCTTTTGTTGAGAGGTGTTAGCTTGCCCTGATTGTTTCATGTCAGGAATTCTCCTAAGTCCCTTCGGGGAGATAGGTGCAGGATTTGAAGGCTTTCGTACTTATTTATATATTTCTTGCATTTCTATCCCGTCTTTCTCAACCCCTGAAGGGGGACTCAGGACAGCTTACAATGGGCCCCATTCCGAAGCCATTACACAACAAATTACAAAATTAAAACCACAATCAGACATAAAAGCATAATTTATTTATTTGTCGTGTCAGGGCAACCAGTCCATTATATTACATTTCTAACAGAACAAAGCAAACAAACAGACAAAATACAAAACTTGTGAGTTTGGTAGTTGGTTAAATGTCCTTTGACCAGTATCTGGCCACTTGGAGTGCTTCTGGTGTTGCTGCAAGAAGGTCCTCCATTGTGCATGTAGCAGGGCTCAGGTTGCATTGCAGCAGGTAGTCAGTGGTGTGCTCTTTTCCACACTCACATGTCAAGAATTCCACTTTGCAGCCCCATTTCTGAAGGTTGGCTCTGCATCTCGTGGTGCCAGAATGCAGTCTGTTCAGCGCCTTCCAAGTCGCCCAGTCCTCTGTGTGCCCAGGGGGGAGTCTCTCATTTGGTATCAGCCATTGGTTGAGGTTCTGGGTTTGAGCCTGCCACTTCTGGACTCTCGCTTGCTGAGGTGTTCCAGCGAGTGTCTCTGTAGATCTTAGAAAACTATTTCTAGATTTAAGAAAAGCATAATAAACAATACATAAGCCATTGTTAAAACAGTAAAACATTCTCATCAGCCATATCGTCAATCCAGTCACATTCCCTTAAAGTGCTGCTTGCATATATTGTCCAAAAGCCTTATTGTTCTGTTCTTTCAAGCCCTTTCTGCCTTACGTTGACCCTAAAACAAATCTATCACAGTTTCTTCTAGGGTTGAAAGTGAATGACTTGTTCAAGGTCATATGGTAGATTCCTGCAGAGGTGAGAGGATCCCTCTTGTCTTTTGCTGAACATAGTTCTAACAACCACCATGACAGACTAAACAGAGAAGCCATTGAAATCCACAAGCATGTGGACAATTTCATCAGAAAGGAGGAAATCATGAAAATGAAAATCTGGCTACCAGTATATAAAACAGAAGAGTAAACAAAAAGGAACACTAAAAAAATAGACATGAAACAATCAGGGCAAGCTAACACCTCTCAACAAAAGATTCTCCCAGGCAGAAAGCAGCCAGGCTTGGAAGCTGCAAGGCCATTCAATGCTATTCAGGGTGGCTAATTGCAACATTCACACTTGCCTCAAGCAGACAAGAGTTCTTTCTCCCACCCTGGACATTATTCCACAGATATATAAACTTCACTTGTCTGGTTTCCAACAGACCTCACAAACTCTGAGGATGCTTACCCTAGATGTGAATGAAACATCAGGAGAGAATGCTTCTGGAATATGGCCATACAGCCCAGAAAATTCACAGCAACTCAATTCAGAAGAGACTTGCCATTATTATTACCTAAGCCGGGGAGTGACATAGGTTGCATCTACACCATAGAATGAAACAGTTTGATGCCACTTTAGCTCAGTGCTATGGAATCCTGGTAGCTGTAGTTTGATGAAATACCAGCACACTTTGGCAAAGAAGGCTTGTAAAACTACAACTCCCAGAATTGAATAGCACTGAGCCAACTTCATTCATTCTACAGCGCAAATGCACCCATAGCGACCTTGGGCACCTCACACACTCGGATGTAGGAAGAGTGTTGGGCAGAACTGAAAACATTACTAGTCGTGTGATCTGCATCATATATCCTTTCTTGTTGTTGCTTTTTGTTATATATCTTCAAAATAACTCCGATTTATGTGCTTTCAAAATGACACATATGGATTACAACTCTATCTTGATGAGTCCTTGGCAAGATTTATTCCAAGGATTCAAAGGCAAACACACCTCTTAACAAATCTTTCCAAGAAAACTGTGGAATAGATTTGCATAAGGTTGCAATAAGTCAGAAACAACTTGAAGGCATGCAGCAGCAGCCGCCGCAAGAAAATAAAAATCCCAGAATGTTCAGAATTTGGCTTACTTTTGCATTGCTTGTTAACCAGCAATCCTCTGGTGCACATCCCTTGCTGAAAGCAGAAAGATGAACTCTTTATCTTCAGCCATTGCTCAGTACTCCTTTTATAAGATATACTTATGATGCTTTCAATAGCCACATCACAATTAAAGAATCGGCAAGACTGGAGAAATGTTAGCCATTCATGAATGGAGCTTTGATCAAAGGATGGAGCACTTGCTCTGCAGTTGCTTACAAAACATATATTTTGATTTTATATCCTCTTTGAAAATATTGTTTTGTTTTTATTATGGTTTGGCGGACTTCTGGCAGAGTCATTACTTGGGGTGAAAAAAGCTGTTTTTTCAGTGCTAAGCATTAATCTTATTGGCCTCTGCAGATGATGATGATGATGATGATGATGATGATGATCTTTATATCCTCTCCAAACAGGAGTCGGGGTGGCTTACAGATCTAAATCAAATGTAGTATGTCCCTCCCCAAAAGGTGTGTACATGTTGAACAACATATACTTTTGGAATATATATATAGTGCAAAAAAATTAAGTATATACTCTAGAACATGCCTTTAGAACATAGCCATATAGCCCGAAAAACCTACAACACCCTTAAGTATATACTATTAACAGAATTAAAGATTCCAGTAGTAGACAAGTGTCATGAAATGAAAATAAAAACTTTTAAATGAGGTTTACAACTCTAAGGTTTGATAATGCAAGGAGTTTACAGCTGTTCAGGGACAACACTTTGAACACCTTACATAAAATGATAATTTAATATGGATTTTATAACTGATTAAATTAATATTGTTCTATTAATTCTTCAATAAATAAATAAACTTAGCATTCAAATAATCACTATAGTTACCATTGCCTGTTAAATGGTGTACAGCAATTAAGGACACCCTGTACATAAGTAAATTCCATCAGTCTTCTGTCTAAGCACCAAACACAAATCTTGATGATCTCAACAATTTAATTCATTTATTTTATAACTCATTTTAAGCATTCATACGAGCACCTAAAAGGCCCTATCTCTGTGAGGCAGTTCAGCTGTGTCACTGATGTTTTCTTGATTTGCCTTATTTGCACAACAGATCATACCAAGAGTGGGAATTGGTAAGCTTTTTATCAAGCCAGTGCCATGTCTTATTCAGTGGATTACAATGGTATAGTACAGTATAGTAATATATAATACTAATATAGTAATATATAATACTATATATAGTAATATATAATACTAATATTGTGCTGTACAAATAATATAATATATTGTGTGCACATATAAGAATATTATGTAATACAATATAATACTAATAATAATACAATATAATAATTCTATATTTCATATTACATGTAATATTACTAATAATATTACAGTATAGTGGTGTGGTACAATATGGGAACGTTTGGTAATAATATTGTGCTATGCTAATAATATAATATATTGTATTTACATATAACTTGTAAGCTGCTCTGAGTCCTCTTCAGGGTAAGAAGGGCAGCACATAAATGTCGTAAATAAATAAATAAATAAATAAATAAAGGGATATCCTATGATTGTCATTTTCTACTCCTAACCTCGTTTGTTTTCCCATTGCACTGTTTATAATGTTGTGAGCCATTTGAGATAAAAGCAGGATATTACTGTTGCTGTTATCATCACCATCCACATCCAACATAATATGCCCTCCCTAGGCATTTTCTGGGACCCCTAGCATGACACTATGGTATTCTTGGGCTGGAAGTCCTCCGTTTTAGGGTTTGCTATTTTCTGTGGTTTTGGGAAGTCTGGGAATGTATTCCCTATGGCTATAGGAATCGTACTGTCATTCCTTCTAATGGGCAACATGACAAATCCCTCATCTAGAAACGAGATTCAAATAAGAACAAGAAGGATTCTTTTTTCCTGTGGTCAGTTAGGCTACAAAATAATTACTTTTGGGCCATTTGTTCTTGTTCCTGTTCCATAACATTTCAGGTCTGGCAAGTTTCCATCCCTATGCAACAACCATGACGTTCTCACAGTTTGATAGACCAGCAGGCAAGATAAAACTTACAGTGAGTAAACATCTGCTTCATTTCTGCAGATTGAATGTTCCATCCTCTGTCAACTTCTTTGTAACTTTTCACTCAAGCATTCAGAGATGGCTGATGGCAAAACATGAAGGAATACAATGGAAACTTGACAGGTTCCTCTTACTTTCTCAGAAGACCGCCACGGGTGCTTGCACAGTGATCTCAGAACATCTTTAAGAGTTGAGTGGATATGGTTTTAATTCCTTCAGACATCAAGCTTAGACATGACAGGCAGATTTACAGTCTGGTGGCTGAAAGATAATGCCTCGTGGTATTATTAACCATATTTCATTGTGGCTCACCTTTCTCCTC